CAGCTGATCCATATTGATGTTTGTGTCCCTATGCAAGCTGAATCCATAAGTGGGAGCAGGTACTTTGTACTCTTCATTGATGACCTCACACAGATGACTTGGGTGTATTTCCTAAAGCAAAAGAATAAGGTTACTGCAATGTTTAAAGGTTTCAAGCTGCTGGTGGAGAATCTATCAGGGATGAGAATCAAAATCATAAGGAGTGACAATGGGACAGAATATACCTGTAAGGAGTTTGATTCCATTTGTAAAGAAGCTGGGATCATGCATTAATTCACTACTCCATACACTCCACAACAAAATGGAGTTAGTGAAAGGAAGAATATGACACTCATGGAGATGGCTAGATGTATGATTGTGGAGAAAAAATTACCAAGAAGTTTTTCGGCTGAAGCTATGAACACATGAGTCTACATTCTCAATAGACTCCCCACCAAGGCTGTCAAAAATCAAACTCCATTTGAAGCCTGGAGTGGAGTCAAACCGACAGTAAATCATCTTAAAGTGTTTGGGAGTATTTCCTATGTTATGATTCCAGGAAATAAGAGGAGCAATTGGATGAAAAATCAACAGTTGGGATTTTTATTGGGTACAACAGTCAGTCCAAAGGCTATAGATTCTACATCCCTAAATCTAGAAAAGTAGTGATTACAAGGGATGTAAAGGTAGATGAAAGAGCAATCTGGAATTGGGAGGAGAAAAGGATTGATGAAGACTGCAAATTACAGCAGCCAACCGAGAGACTAGTTAATGAAGCTGAAACTAAAGAGGATGAAGAGCCTTCGGTTAGAGGGACCAAAAACTTGGCTGATGTCTATGCAAGAAGTAATATGGCTGTGCTTGAACCAAAAAGTTATGTTGAAGCTGCTGAATCAGAAGCTTGGAGGAATGCAATGCAGGAGGAGATGTTAATGATAGAGAAAAACAAGACCTGGGAGCTGGTTGACAGACTTGGAAACAGGAAGGTGATCCAAGTAAAATGGATTTACAAGAAGAAACTTAATCCTGATGCATCAGTCAAAAAACACAAAGCAAGGCTGATGGTTAAGGGGTTTGCACGGCAGCATAAGGTGGATTTTTCTGACACATTTGCTCTAGTGGCCAGGCATGACACTATCAGGTTACTCTTTGCTATGGCAGCCCAATTTGGCTGGAAAATTTTCCAGCTTTATGTTAAATCTGCATTCCTGAATGGCTAGCTGAGTGAAGAAATTTTTGTGGAGCAATCTGAAGGTTACCAAGTCAAGGGTGAAGAAAATAAAGTGTACCTGCTGAAGAAGGCTTTATGTGCCTAAAGCAGGCACCTAAAGCCTGCTACAACCGCATAAATGACTATCTAAGCAGCCTAGGATATGTTAGAAGTCCTAATGAGCATACACTTTATGTTAAGGAAACTAAAGGTGACATGATTGTGGTCTCTTTGTATGTGGATGATTTGCTAATCACAGGGAGCAATGTAGATCAATTGAGTCAGTTTAAGAAGTCCATGGAAAGGGAATTTGAAGTGACTGATTTGGGGGAGATGACATATTTCCTTGGCATGGAAATAAATCAGTCTAATGATGGGGTTTTTGTGTGTCAAGAAAGGTATGCAAATGAAGTTCTTAGGAAGTTTGGCATGGAAAATTGCAAACCAGTGGATGCTCCATTGGTTCCAAATTTGAGGTTATGCGATGATGGTGCAATGAAAGTGGATGAGAGGTTGTTTAGAAGCCTAATTGGATGCTTGCTGTACTTAACAGCCACACGACCAGACCTCATGCTTGCTGCCAGTTATCTTTCCAGGTTCATGTGTAATCCAAGTGAGCTGCATTTCAGGGCAGCCAAGAGAGTGTTGAGGTATGTGAAAGGAAGCACCAGGCTTGGCATTTGGTTCAGAAAATCTGAAAACCTGAAGTTGTTGGGATATACAGACAGTGACTGGGGAGGTTCTCTTGATGATATGAAAAGCACCTCAGGTTATGTGTTCTACATAAACTCTGGTGCAATTAGTTGGCTGTCTAAGAAACAGGAAACCGTGGCTCAATCCACAACAGAAGCTGAGTATATTTCAGTCGTTGCTGCTGTGAATCAAGCCATTTGGCTGAGAAAGATTCTTGAAGATTTGAAGCTGAAACAGGTCAAGCCTACTGCCATCATGTGTGACAACCAATCTGCTATAGCAATGGCCAAAAATCCAGTGCATCATGGACGTACAAAGCACATAAAAATTAAGTTTCATGCAGTGGAAGAGGCTGAACAAAATGGTGAAGTGGAACTGATGCACTACAGGGTTGAATTACAAGTGGCTGACATTATGACTAAAGCTGTTTCTAAAGCCAAGTTTGAAGAATTCAGATTTAGACTTGGTGTTTCCAGCAAATGTATCAAGGAGGAGTGTTGATGAAGTGATACCTTGCTGGAAATGCATTTTGTTCCAGTTTGCAGTTTAAATATTTTTGCACCAATGGCATTAGTTGCTGCAGAGGGTGTGTGTGTGAACTGCAGTTTGGTGCAATTTTTGAATCCTAGTTTAGGTGTGATTTAGACATGTAATTGATGTATTATGAGTATGCTTTAATCAGTTGCTAGAGTTTCAAATTCAAATTTGGAAAATGTATCTGCTGTAGTTATTGTAACAGTAAGGTTTTTGTTAGACTGGTGTATATATTTTCCAGCCTTCTGTAATGAAAGATATTCCACTTCTCTTCCAGTTTTTTCCTTTCTTTCTTTTCATTCTCCGGCCATAAAACCAACACACCCAAATGCCCACTAAAAATTAGCGTGACGAAAATAAGCATGTAACTGAACACAGAATAAACAATAGAGGACCCAGAAAGAAGCCAAAGTAGCTGCGACTCCCACCCTAAAAGACGAGGCCACCACCGCACTACCACCGGCTTATGTTCCAAAAACTCTTCAATCATCTCGGACGACAAGTCGAGTATATCTGGAACGCGAGTCCAGCCCCATCAACAACAGCTGAGACTCTGTAGACCCCATGACAACAACCTTAGTTTTGGATTAGTACTATGAAATTGGTTGAGAAGTGATTGGAACTGAGTTGATATAAATGAAATGTTGATTGAGTTATATTTATTCATACATCAATTTGTGAATAATTTAATTTAACTAACAGTCCACTTAATATTAAATTTGTTCCAAGTCATTGAAGGATTGTGGCAGTTTTCAATTGAATGTAAGAGTTATGAAACATTGAGCAGAGTAACAATAAAGTTTGTTGTACAACTGATAACTTTTAACATCAAAATCGTTTGAACATAGTTTAAGTAAGGTGATTTTATGTCCACATGACTTTGGAACTCTTATATGCATCGAAAGATTTACATCTGTCATTAATTAATATGATGTAGATAAAAACATTTAACTACAGCATAAATTCCAATATGTTTTTCTTCTGAGGTTGATCGTCAAGGCGATGGATCAATTCCAGTATGTTTCATGGTATCATACCAACCATTCAACTGTTTGTCAAATTAGTGGACAGGCAGGGTTCATGAATCGAATTATTAAAAAAATATGGATTTTGGTGGAGGTGAGCGTCGGTTGTTGCCAGCCTCTTGCTCTTATACCGATGCGTCTCATCTCTTTGTTAGAAAAATGATTCTCTCCAGATGACAGCTTGACTTTTATATTTAATATTCGCAAACCTTCCAATTTTGCATTCTTTCCTATTATCTTATTTAAACCTTAGTTGAGAATGGCCCGGCTTTATGTCTGTTATTAGGGAATTAACAAATGTTTTAGACAGATTCCATAAAATCTTTAGTGAAAAATACTCTGCTCTTATTCTTATTTATGTTTTTGCTGATGCACCCCAGACATACTAAGGTAAATAATCTTGAAAAAATTATGGAGATTTATGAAGATTTGTGAGTAAATGGTATCAGAGCCAATCATGCAATCATCCCTAACATCATGGATGCACATGCCAAGAACAGGGAATTGGAATCTTGTGGTTTTCCTCCAGACTGGAAAGCAAAGAATATTCTGTTTGTCTCTCGCTAGGACTGTTAGGAGGAAAACATATAATTCGAGATAATAACATAGGAATAAAATCATCCATCACAAAGAGATATGATATTTACGTAGTTTAGCGTAATCCACCTATATACACGGATGAGGAAAATTCATTATAGTTTCATGAACACAATATGCAATAGTACGTAACATCATAAACCCGATAAACAATTAACTGAGTGGAAACAATCCTAGTTTCTAACCACGCTCAACCCAATACCTAGAGTGAAAACGATTACAGTTTCTAAGACACTCTCCTCATGATGTTTAATGATTCTTACATTAAATACCTTATATTCTCGTATTCTTTTATAACCTTAAATCGGTTCTCATCCCTGTTTTTATAGATAATATATGAGATATTTTTTTTCTAATAGAATTCATATTTCAATTACTATTAGGACTCCTAAATTCTATTCCTATTCATGATTATATTTTTTACTAAATAATTTTTCTAAAGATATTCAATTTCACATGGGAACACATAGAAAAACAAGCCACAATATCCCAACAAGGACTGCAGATGAACAGAGAGAAGCTAATGAATTCGTAGGGAATTTTGATCATCATGGCGACGAGCATAGGGTTTAATGGAGTTTCTGGGTTTGTCAACGAGGAGGATGATGAGGATTGAGTATGCAGAAGAGGCTGTTTCTTATTATGAAAAGCAAAATGAATTTATATTTTGTTAACGGTGATCATCGACAAAATCAATTAGGCCTACAGAAGCTACAAACAGTTGATTTGTAAATTCAAAAAATGTGTCCTGCTTTATAGTTGTATGATTTAACCATGAAAATCAGTTGTATATGATATTGATGTTGGAATTAGAAGCCTTGAAATCAATTCTAAGGCTTTTAAAATTTTATAAGAGAGATGAACTGGTGAAAAGGAAGATAAAACAAATTCATTCACTCCCTAGATTTTCTTCAAATACAATCATAAGACATTCCCTTTTTATAGTTTTGTAAAAGATAAGATTATGTAACTTACTTAACTGTTCGTTTAAGAGAAATTCAAATTCATAATTGGACATAACTATAATTTGATTCAATCTAAAACTAAAGTTCTTTGGCCTTGCCGCGGCATATATTTTCTTCTGCTGCGACATATTGCTCTCTAGAATGTTTTTGGAGTAGCTTTCTTCATGGATCTGTGTCATGACTTTCTCTATGCCGCGACATGCTTTCTTTTGAACATTTTCAGAGTCCTCTCGCCGGCATGCTTCTTCTAGACATCTTCAGAGTCCTTTCGCTGGCATTCTTGTAGACATTTCATGCTGCAATTCTTCTCCTACCAAAAAGATTCAATCTTCAACAATTGATATCTGTCACTGTTTATGTGAATGGAATCATGCATCATCCAATTGTGACTTACTGACTCTTGTGATGAGTCTATGTTGTCTTTGATTCCATTTAAAATAAATCATTTTTAGCATGTACATTTATATTAATGAACAAACTTTGTTGTCCTAAGTTTTTATACACTTTAATACAGCCATGAAACTGAAGGAAGGACATTACAAATGCTCTGAAATAATTTGGTGATTTTGAATTTCATTTCATCTGGAAGACAGGCCAAAACTGACATACATAATCCTCTGTCCAATTCTGTGTCTAACTTGTGAATTGAACCATGACACTATAGAATGTTCAGAATCTAATTTACAGAACCTCAGATTCTCTATTCTTTCCTTGCTTAATTTCGTTTTTTTCACTGTTGACCTCACATGTTGTCACAATTTAAAATAATAAAGTTTGAATCAATATATCGTCTTCATGCTTTAGTCACCAAATCTAAGGTCTCGTCATTTGAAGAATTCTTCACACGCTCAGCAGCTTTCACAACCTACAAAAGCATTACAACAGTGAGAAATTGCCTAACTGCAACACATCCTAATGTGTTACATAATTTATGAAAAACCTGTAGCTTACCTCTGCATTCCAATTTGTTCTGGCTGTGAGGATAATCAGAGTTACTGTTTGCAAGAGAACTCCAATAATCAACCCCCACCAAATACCCTGAACAAGCATATGCTACCATTTCGTTAAAGATGTCTAATAACCTAACATTTCAGAAGCAGAGGAAGATCATCAACTTACTGCAACTCCTAAGGAAGTCTTGAAGCCAAGAACACATCCAATTGGAAGACCAATTATGTAGTAAGTGGCTAGATTCACGTAAGCAACCACAGCCTGCCACCCACTTCCAATTGCAACACCTGAAATTTCCAAAAGGAGGGAAAATCATTACCAAAAACCAAAGGACAATGATCCCATTTGGAGAAACAACATTCTCATTATTAACTAACCTGAAAGTATAGGTTGAATTCCATTGAAGAAAACAGACGTGGCAAGTAGTGGTGTTAAATTTGAAACTGCTGCTATAACCTCAGAATCAGTTGTGAAGAGTTCACTGAGTCCAACCCGGAATATCAAAACAATTGCACTGAAAAGTATACTAATGAAGACACTTGTCGCGGTCACTACTACTACTGAAAATTTTGCTACTCTGGGATGTCCTGCTCCAAGTTCATTACTCACCCGGACACTGCAGCCAGTTTACAAAGAAGGAAATTAACATTTTGGTGGAAACTATTGGAATATCTCAATGTGAATATTTCACTAACCTGGCTGCTGCTGCCAGGCCCAGCATAAATTGCATGTCCCAGTTCAGGTAATTCATACTGAAAATATATCACATTAGAGCTACATGTAAGAGTAAAATGTTGCTATATATATAAATTATGGAAAAAAAAAAAGGGGACGTCCACATTATTGCATACCATATGGAAATGGAGTCTAGTGCAACTGTAGGATCAGAGAGAAGTCCAGATATAAGCACCAGTCCTTGGTTGTACCAAATTTCCAAACTGAAATTATAAAGAGTATAATATGATTAACATTAGTAATCATATATAATATCCAAACTAGTATAAGACTAAGACGGACACAAACAGAGAGTTTTAGTCACAAACCAAAGCATAATAGCAGAAGCAACAGTGAGCTTGAAATAGGGCCAAATTCCTTTAAACGCTTTGATAGACAAGCCGTTCCATGTTTCTTTGCAAGATGGACTTAAAACAATGTAAAGACCATTTATAATAGCAAGCAGCCACCAAGAGAAACTCAGAGTAAGAGCTGCCCCTATTAGGCCATAGTCCAAGATATAAACAACAACCCATGTTAACAGCGTATGCAGCAAAAATACCCCAACAGACATATATGCCAAAGGGTTTACTATGTTCTGTGCTTGAAGGAAACGTTGCATTGGGCAGCTTATTGCAAATGCATAAAGTTGAGGGATCAAACCGCGAGCAAAAACTTGGCCCTTCTCGGCTATGCTTTCTGATTGCCCAACTGCTATAAGGACTGGACCTGAGAACCAATACAAGAATGTGAGGAGTACAGCCGCTCCCACATGCAGTACAATTGCTCTTTGGCAAATTATGCCCATGTCCGAATATTTCTTGGCTCCATAAGCTTGGCCACACACGGTTTGAACTGCACTAGCCATGCCCAACTGTTTTTTTTTTTCAAAAGAGTAGTCAAGTAAAACAAAATTTAAACAAAAATTAAGAACATATACTATTATTAACGAGTACCCATCTGAGTTTTTGTGTAGAAAAATGGTTTTGTTCAGAGAAACATATGTTTCTGTATTCGCAGATGCTTCTTGTCCATAATTAATATAAAAATACTTGTCTCTTTGTATAAAATGAGTGCTGAAAAAGGCACATACCATGATTCCATAAGCGAGACCTTGAATTCCAACGCTGGCAATGGAGGCGCCAGCGAGCTCTAAAGCACCCAAATGGCCACTAAAACTCAACGTGACAAAACTAAGCATGTAATTAAACACAGAGACAATAATAGAAGACCCAGACAGCAGCCAAAGCAGACGTGACTCCCAGGCAAAAAGACGAGGCCACCACCGCACCGCCACTGGCCTCTGTTCCAAAAACTCTTCAATCACCACGGACGACAAGTCAGGTATCCTGGAATGTGAGTCCAGCCCCAGCAACAACGGCTGGTACTCTGCACTCCCCATCTCAGACTCACACTGGCACTGTCTTCTTCACTACAAGGAATTGACTTATAAGAGTAGTAGTGAGTTGATTGCACTAAAAGTTAGATATTTGTTATTTATGGATGCATGAATTTGTGAGAGTTCTACTTAACTAACATTCCATAATTAATTGGTGAAAAGGTCATACAAGGAAAGGCAGATGCAGGCGTGAAGCCAAAACTTTTATGTTGGTATTGATACAAGCATAGGAGAGAGAGTGAAAGTTGATATAAAATAGATATGATGATTGGATGGAGTGGCAGGCTTTATAGTTTCCGGAAAGAGTCGTAGGTGGTGGCACGTGCACCTAATTGTGGGTGGGACCGTGAGTGAGTTGACTGAAAGAGTAACCCACAAATCCATGTCACACTTACAATTAAATTAGGTAACAGTAAAAATAAAATGAAATCACCCACTTAGGGATTAGCTATACCGGATTTTCTTCAATCTCCGCTGCCTAACCCATAGACAAGGATTTTATTTATTTCATATTATAGAATATTGGTTTACTTTTTTGTTTCCTTTTTCAGCAACAACATAGTGACTAAATAGTAGGATGATGCAAGTCTTAAATTAAACATCAAAAAATGAAGGGCTATCCATGCGGTCATAAAGATCCATTGTTCATAAAATTACAATTCAAGATAGCAAACAAACAGGCTACTATTGAGTGTCATTCATTCTCCTAATACATCCGTGTTCTAAGTAGCATAACGTTGCTCTCACACCAAGAGCAACTCTCCTACAATAATTTACACTGATATTTTGCATTTGCATCTGCTCACATACAACAGCAACTTTTTAACAAAACCATTACAAAAGGGCTAGCGTAGAAAAAGAATGCTGACAATCCATTTCACAACATTACTAGTATATTACTTAAAAACACTTATCTGAAGCCATTTTTTCTTTTTTCTCTTTTCAGTTTTCCCTAGATTTTGGCTTTCAGTAATCAAGAGACCCCATGGATGCAACTCCATTGCTCGAACTTCTCAGTTCCTGTCTGCTCATATAGTCGTCACAGTTGTTATTCGTGAGCCTTTGCCCTGGGACACAAGTCACTGAACTCAGACCTTCTTTTCCCATTTGTTGCACTTCCAGCGGAGATAGTATCTTAATATACCACACATTGTTTACAAACTCCCTGATGACAGGATAATGGAAAAAGAGAATACACAATTCAGTATTAATTACAAACCACTGTAAAACCATAAAGCACGAACTGGAATTTTGTGCAACCAACCACTATACAAATAATCACAAAGGTTTAGACAACATCACATCTTATGTTGCATGAAAAAGCTACAAGCAAGCAAGAGAGAGTTGCACACCAGTTCAAAAAAGAAAGCAAGAAAGCAGAGCATGATTTGTTACTTACTGCCAAGGGTCATCACCAAGGAGAAGAACATCATTCTCCCGGTCAACAAATACAAGCTGCCAGCCTGATCTCTGAGGGTCCTCTAGTTGGCCTTCAAGGGCAAACATACGAGCAAGTTCACTGCGCAGCTCATCATAGCTGCTAAACTTGGAAATGTCCAGTGACCGCCCAAAGGACCCCGACTTATGAACCTGTCAAATTTACATTATTTGATCAGCAATTAAATGATGAAAGGGCATAACAAATGAATTTAAAGCTCATGAAAATCATAGTTTGCATGCAAATTAAAGTTAAACACAGGCATCTTCTTGGCAGAAAAAACATGTAAAACAAGGCAAAAGTTGGCATGGTGTGACCGTTCAAAGTGGCATCCTCTAGGAAACTTGCATTGTTTAAGGGATCACGGTAACATTCAATCATAAGATTCAGTTGGTTGTGACCAGCCTAATCAAAATTTCTGAAATATAGAAGGCAGAAGGCCAGAAAGAACACGAGATCACAAGCATAATACATCAGGTTTTGCCAGAGAAATGGTTTTAGCAATTAGACTAAGCATGTCACAGTGTTGAAACAGAACAATCCCCAAACACCTTGTAGTATGCTTTCAAAGACAGTGACTATAATGTTTACCTTCACAAAGGTTCTAGGTGGTGGATTCACTTGATCCACATTCTCAGAAGACTGCAAGAAACCTGATTCATCTACACAACTTGAGGTTGTCATATCCGAATTCAGTGGAAAATCAGTTCCCACAGCACTTGTAAAATTTGAAGTAGCAAATGGAAGAGACAATGACTCATTTTCATTGCCAATATTTTTCAGGTTTGGCAGCCCATGCTGTGCCATAAGAGATGAGGAATCAATGGACACCCCAAATAATAGATTGTTTTGTGGATCACCAGAACCATGATAAGAAGAATACTCTCTACCGGGAAATGGAGGCAACAAATTAGCAAGTTCAGAAACATTTGACTGTTGTGTTCCCAACTGTTCCACCTGAGGCAGTATGCAATGAGCAACTCCAGAAGGAAGATGAGAATCAACTGTGACTTGCTTGCTAAGCATGGGGGTAGAAGAGATAACAGGGTTTGATGCGTTCGAATTAAGCAAGTGGGATGCTCCATCCTGTGATAATGAACCTAAGATATTGTGCATACTGGAAACATCAGATGTAGCTATTGGGTTCCCCAGAGAATCAGAAAAGTTTGGCTGCTGGCACTGTGGAGGAATGGCCTGCAGAGTTGGAGGCTGGGACTGACTGGCTGACGCAAGGTGAGGTAGAGCAGAGATGACATTCGGAATCTGCTGCTGGACTGATAATTGGTGTAGTTGCTGGGGTTGTTGAACTTGCTGCTGCTGTTGTCGTTGATCATTATAGGACTGCTGATGCTGCAACTGCTGTTGCAGAAGCTGAGCCTGAGCAGAGACCTGATTTTCCTGAAAATTCTGTAGAAAGGCATTTTGAGAATGGGACGGCTGTAACATCTGTCTTGGAATCAAAGAAGCAGCCCCATTGGATGCACTTTGAGATTGCTGGAACTGCAGAAGAGACTGTGAGGCTAATTTGGAAGAATCCACTGTTCTCATTTCTTGAAGTGCAGCAGCCGCCATTGCTTGGTATACATCAGGTTGTAGACCTGGCATCGAAGCGTCAAGCCTTGGCTGCATCCAGGGTGAAACACCAAATCCCTGAAAATTCAAAGATTGGATTCCTTGATCTCCAACCCCTCCTTGAAGCCACATTAACGGAGAATTTATGCTCATATCGCCATCTTTCAGACCTTCATGAAACAAATTAAACAGCTTTCAATGAAAATTTATCAAGTTTCAATTTTGTAAAAGTGATATTATGTGAGCCATAAACAATCCAAGCATACCATGGAAAGAAGGCAGTCCAGATGGCCATGGTCGCTTTAGTCGCAAAGGGAAGGGGGATGGATACATAGGGAATGTTGTTAATGGTTCAATCTCCCACAAGGATACTCTCGGCTGCCTCTCCCCTGCAGTGGATTCATCCCACCCAACCTGTAGAAATGGCAAAATGAAATTCAATATGACCTAATAAAAACAGATCTAGAATTTAAGAAAAATCTCAATAAAATATATAGTGTGCTACCTCAAAAATGAGTATCTACACTTAAAAATCTCAAAACACACCTTAACAGAGCGCCAATGTGAATTTGGCCAGCGAACAGGGTCTAGATCACTAATGCCAGTAATTGTACCCATGTATCTGGACATTAAATATACACCCATGAGCAAAATTATCCACCAGTTGCATTTACAAGTATTTGCTTTAAGACATAGAAATATATTAAATAAATAAGGAAAAAAATATAGAAGTGCAAAGGAAAAGGCCGAAAGTTACTGTATGGAAATGTTAAATGGTCCACATAAACAATGAAGAGAGAAATGACGATAATCTATAATGATGAAAGGAAAAAACAAAAAGAAAAGGAGAAGTTGAAAACAAGAGGTCAAAGGGGAAGCCAAGCAAGGCAACACCAGGTCAAATGACACAAAATCTTCACCCCACATATCCCAGCGATTATTTATATCAAAAACGTGTCCAAGATGAGGTGGAACACATATAACACAGTCCAAAATGCAGTTCAATTTTATTTTTCCATAAATCAGTTTGAATTTCATAACTAATTGCAAGTGGAATAACGACCATCATCTCAATTTTTAAACAATACAAAGCTTGCCTACGAAAAGAATTCCATTAGGTAGTATCAACCACTAAAGCAACCAATTTGACCTTAAGTAATTACCTATTTAAGCATAAACAGTGGAGGTAACTTGACCTTAATTCCATTNTGCTGTCGTTGATCATTATAGGACTGCTGTCGCTGCAACTGCTGTTGCAGAAGCTGAGCCTGAGCAGAGACCTGATTTTCCTGAAAATTCTGTAGAAAGGCATTTTGAGAATGGGACGGCTGTAACATCTGTCTTGGAATCAAAGAAGCAGCCCCATTGGATGCACTTTGAGATTGCTGGAACTGCAGAAGAGACTGTGAGGCTAATTTGGAAGAATCCACTGTTCTCATTTCTTGAAGTGCAGCAGCCGCCATTGCTTGGTATACATCAGGTTGTAGACCTGGCATCGAAGCGTCAAGCCTTGGCTGCATCCAGGGTGAAACACCAAATCCCTGAAAATTCAAAGATTGGATTCCTTGATCTCCAACCCCTCCTTGAAGCCACATTAACGGAGAATTTATGCTCATATCGCCATCTTTCAGACCTTCATGAAACAAATTAAACAGCTTTCAATGAAAATTTATCAAGTTTCAATTTTGTAAAAGTGATATTATGTGAGCCATAAACAATCCAAGCATACCATGGAAAGAAGGCAGTCCAGATGGCCATGGTCGCTTTAGTCGCAAAGGGAAGGGGGATGGATACATAGGGAATGTTGTTAATGGTTCAATCTCCCACAAGGATACTCTCGGCTGCCTCTCCCCTGCAGTGGATTCATCCCACCCAACCTGTAGAAATGGCAAAATGAAATTCAATATGACCTAATAAAAACAGATCTAGAATTTAAGAAAAATCTCAATAAAATATATAGTGTGCTACCTCAAAAATGAGTATCTACACTTAAAAATCTCAAAACACACCTTAACAGAGCGCCAATGTGAATTTGGCCAGCGAACAGGGTCTAGATCACTAATGCCAGTAATTGTACCCATGTATCTGGACATTAAATATACACCCATGAGCAAAATTATCCACCAGTTGCATTTACAAGTATTTGCTTTAAGACATAGAAATATATTAAATAAATAAGGAAAAAAATATAGAAGTGCAAAGGAAAAGGCCGAAAGTTACTGTATGGAAATGTTAAATGGTCCACATAAACAATGAAGAGAGAAATGACGATAATCTATAATGATGAAAGGAAAAAACAAAAAGAAAAGGAGAAGTTGAAAACAAGAGGTCAAAGGGGAAGCCAAGCAAGGCAACACCAGGTCAAATGACACAAAATCTTCACCCCACATATCCCAGCGATTATTTATATCAAAAACGTGTCCAAGATGAGGTGGAACACATATAACACAGTCCAAAATGCAGTTCAATTTTATTTTTCCATAAATCAGTTTGAATTTCAAAATTAATTGCAAGTGGAATAACGACCATCATCTCAATTTTTAAACAATACAAAGCTTGCCTGCGAAAAGAATTCCATTAGGTAGTATCAACCACTAAAGCAACTAATTTGACCTTAAGTTACTACCTTTTTAAGCATAAACAGAGGAGGTAACTTGACCTTAATTCCATTGATGGTAGTTTTCAAATCACCAAATTTTTAAGACAAGTAATCCCAATTCTTTTGCTAAATAGCAGTGAAGTTTAAGCTTTTCTTACACCATTACTAGTCCAAAATCCCACACATATTTCTCTACCATTTTAGACACCAGCGAACCACGCACAGGTACAATAAGAACCTCTATCAGTGCTGTCTTACATCTAGACAATATTATTTTTACCACCAAATAGAGACAATGAATGTCACTTCTTTTCACAACATAAAGCTTTGACTTGAATTACTATTTCAGATTGTTGAGACACCCCCGATCCAAAAGCTAAGCTGATAGATAAAGGCCCACAAATGATATTTATACTCTAAAACAAATGAAAGCATCTGCAACTTCCATTCATAGCAGTATAGGTAAGAACATACTGATCACCACAATACATCCATGTATACAAGTACCACAAGCCAGGGAGAGATAAGAGAAAAAGAAAAAAGAAAGCTAATCTAAGCTCAACAATGCATAACAGTTGAAATCTTGAAGTAATTTTCGTCTATTTATTTTTTTCTTTTTTCTTTTGAAGCACAAAACATATATATAGCTACAAGAAAGACCTACCGACGAACACTCGACTCTTCAGTCTCAAACAGCATCCTAAATCGCATGCCCACAGAAACCCGAGTATGATAGACTGCTTTAACATACTTAGCCAGGGGAATGACAAATTCTGAAGGACTTGCCCTGCAATCACAGTAAATGGAACAATTAAGATCTGCATTGAATATTTTCAATCAGTTAAAATTCAGCAGATACTTCACCTTGGATTGTAAAATATAGTGAATCGGCTATTTGTGGCAGCTGCATGTGCTGCAGCAGCAAGAAGACCAATGTGCATACTATCACTTGAAAGAACTGATGAAGGCATAACAGTCTGGGGGCGATTTGCTCGTCGGATACCCAGAAGCAATTGATTTTTTTCATTCCTAATTAAAGAGGCCATATTGAAGAAACCAAAAAAAAAAAAANAAGACAAGTAATCCCAATTCTTTTGCTAAATAGCAGTGAAGTTTAAGCTTTTCTTACACCATTACTAGTCCAAAATCCCACACATATTTCTCTACCATTTTAGACACCAGCGAACCACGCACAGGTACAATAAGAACCTCTATCAGTGCTGTCTTACATCTAGACAATATTATTTTTACCACCAAATAGAGACAATGAATGTCACTTCTTTTCACAACATAAAGCTTTGACTTGAATTACTATTTCAGATTGTTGAGACACCCCCGATCCAAAAGCTAAGCTGATAGATAAAGGCCCACAAATGATATTTATACTCTAAAACAAATGAAAGCATCTGCAACTTCCATTCATAGCAGTATAGGTAAGAACATACTGATCACCACAATACATCCATGTATACAAGTACCACAAGCCAGGGAGAGATAAGAGAAAAAGAAAAAAGAAAGCTAATCTAAGCTCAACAATGCATAACAGTTGAAATCTTGAAGTAATTTTCGTCTATTTATTTTTTTCTTTTTTCTTTTGAAGCACAAAACATATATATAGCTACAAGAAAGACCTACCGACGAACACTCGACTCTTCAGTCTCAAACAGCATCCTAAATCGCATGCCCACAGAAACCCGAGTATGATAGACTGCTTTAACATACTTAGCCAGGGGAATGACAAATTCTGAAGGACTTGCCCTGCAATCACAGTAAATGGAACAATTAAGATCTGCATTGAATATTTTCAATCAGTTAAAATTCAGCAGATACTTCACCTTGGATTGTAAAATATAGTGAATCGGCTATTTGTGGCAGCTGCATGTGCTGCAGCAGCAAGAAGACCAATGTGCATACTATCACTTGAAAGAACTGATGAAGGCATAACAGTCTGGGGGCGATTTGCTCGTCGGATACCCAGAAGCAATTGATTTTTTTCATTCCTAATTAAAGAGGCCATATTGAAGAAACCAAAAAAAAAAAAATTGATGAGAATTGCCATATAATTTCTTCAACATGTAGCAAACAGAATAACATGGTCCTGTTCACAAATAAACTACATATGCAGGAATGTAGATACTTGACATATCAGCAGGAAAAGATCCTTTGGTATACATATAATGCTACACACCATGATACTTCTTATCTAAAGCGCTACAAATTTTTTTGCCAGTCATCTACAATATATATTAAAAAATTAAATCATTTCATCATATTGTCTCAAGCTCCCATTATAATTCCACATGTATCATACTGTGGAAAATTTCCTTCCCTTGCCAACTAACCATCCAATGGAAATATTCAGCACAATCTAGAGGATTAAATAAATAAAACTAATCTAAAGTCTCATAAGAAATTCTCTAACCAGATAAATAGGACAGAATCACCAGCAACAAGTCTCTTTGCACTAACAAAAACACTCCATCCTGTTGTAAGAAGATGCCTCTTGGGCTGACCTGCATACATGAACAGGAAAAACTAATTGATACTTGCATTATTCCTCACAAAATCATTGCACCCTCCGTTAAGTAGTTAGGCAGGACTTCACACTTCTCTCATAATCACCATACATATATAGAAGACAGTAAGATCACCTCGAAATATATGCCTGAATTTCCATTCATTATCATGAAGATCCCTTGCAATTAGTTCTTGAGCTGGAGGAGTTTGTGAATAATCCTGAAACAAAAATTAAAATAGAATGGTGAAAGAAGCAAATTAGATCCGCAAGCACAAGACATCATTAGCATCAAAAACTAGTGAATTATCAAATGTCACCTACAAGAGGAGGAAAAACTTTTTCAGCCGCTCGACGAGGAACGGAGAATCCTCCATGTGTGCTGGTATCACTTGCAGTCAATGTCTTGCAAAAATAGTTTGTTGGCTGTTTGCTGGGAGTACCCAACTCTGCAGGCAGTAGGTATACATCTTTTTGCTCTTGCTACAATAAAATTTTGTGTCAACACAAGAAAATAGTTATAACACTTGAAAGCTGATATCCAAAAGGTGCAAACTAACCGGACTCAGTGGTTGCAAGGTCATCTGTGCATATACTTCATCTGTCTCCACATCTGCCTATACATGCATAATAAAAGTTATAAGGAGTAGCCCATAAATAGTTTAAAGAATATGAGTTTAAAGAATATGTAATCTGAAAACACCAACAATTACATGCATAGTGACATTGTGAAGTTGACAGATGAGCTGCGGGGGTAAGCTAGGGTAATTAGGAATATGAGCATCTACTTCCTTGTTTGTCGAAGCAGCAACCTGCACAGGCAATTAAGAACCACTAACAATCAAACAGAATTCAGGAAAACAGAAATAATATGCTATGGAGGACCAAAAAGAAATACTAAGACGCAAGAAGCTTCAGCTACAAACAACAATAATTTGGTTCAACTGTTTCATACTACAACTATGGTTATAACACGTTCTGAAAGAATTTCAATATGAACTCCACCTAAAATCTAAAGAATATAAAAATCCAAGAAGCAAGCAATTTTCAGGCAAGACAACTGTATGCATCATGTTTACGATAATAGGAATCAAAGAAAACACTAAGAATTCATTATGTTCTAAGATTCAATGAATTTTCCATTCAGAGAAACTATTATTTATTTGCGTAGACAACTACCAGAAACAATCATCTCTTAAACATACATAAAAGGAGCTCAATGAATCAGACGAGGCTGCATTTGTAAGAAATTAAGAATCATCTTAATAACTTAACCATTTCTTTGGAAGGAGTAAATGATGACTACCGGCCCCAAAGGATTACATCTTTAGATTACAAATCATCAAACTTTCTATCTGTAGTAATTAAAGACCTAACACATGTTCTGCTCAGGCATCATCGAGAAGAGGCAAACTGTTCCTGAATAGCAAATGACAAACGAACGGAATAAGACACATTGTTACACTCATAATAACCTGTTCGCTGTGACCCTGGGGAAAGTACACAACACGGCTTCCCACAGGAGGCAAAGATACAAGAGGGCCGGCACAAGCATGCCAAAGCTCGGAATTCAAACATTTTTTCTCCCCTGCAAAAAATTTCCCATGCTCGTATTAGTTCAAATAGTACAAAACGTCATCACAAAGTTTAGACAATTTTGATCGAGAAAGCATAGAAGATCTACACAATGATTCAGGTTCCCACTACATAGAACATAAATTGCATATACTTCATGATCTTCATCACACCGCCTCAAGTTTAGCTACGCCTTTTCCACCCAGAACAACATGCACACACGCAATATCATCGAACATCGTATTTAATCCCCAAACACAATCAAATATCAAATACTTATTTTTTCTTTTCATCAAGAAACAAAAAAATACGCTTATTCATGGGACAGTAGAACGAGAGAGTAGAAAAAGGTCCAGCGTATGTGTACACACATGAAGAAAGGCTTGAGTCTTGACCGACACAAACAGAAAGTCAACATATAAAACAAACAGTTAAACATAGAGAACTTGAAGCTAGTACATGAAGCACTAACCTTCCTGAGTCTGCTGATTAAACCCCGACGAAGAGAGTCTCATTCTAAAACCAAACAAAAGCAAGTCCTTGAGTAACTAAAAACCAACACGTCCAAAAGAAGACAAGTTTTGAATCACCGCTCACTTTTCTCTATTTAACCACATTCATGAAAACCCACCCGCCCACCCCCCCCAAATACCCAGAAAATCCTCAAAGCTACTTCCAAACTCCACTGCCTCATAACCCTCAGATCTTCTCTACCCAAACCCCAATCCTCTTCTCAAATTACCACATTTTATACACAACACCCCAAACTAAACCCTAGCTTCAAGAATCAACCAAAATCCCAACCAAAAACCTAGCTCAGAACCAGATCTCGACACCTAAGCAAGCTAAACCTCTTATTTGAACAACTCAAGGCCAGTGAGAATCAGCTGAAGCTCAGTGAGCAGAAAATGACTTTCTATTTTTGGGATTTTGCTGTTTTTTTAAAGAGGGAGCTGAAAGCAGTAGGCAGAGAGAGAGAAACCCAAAAATAACAAATAAAAAGAAAAGGAAAGAAAGGCGAGACTTTGAAAGCGCTTTCTTGGTCTACTAGTACTTCCACAACTCTGCGATCAATCAATCAATCAATTAATACATTAAAGATTTCCATTATTATTATTATTTACGTATTTTTATTTTATTTTGAGGCAAACGGTACAATACCTGTCAAAATCCCTAATTGGCATGTACTGGAAAAGCTCAAAACTTTGAACCCTGTAACTTCTTCAAATTTATCAAACTTCAATTATTTTATTTCCCGAATTGAATGGGTGAAAATACTTTCTGGTTTCTACAGTATTGAGGTTGCAGTTTTTTATACGGGAGGAGGGGTATTGTGTAATTTTAAAAATTGGGAGGGTAAAAATCTGTAAGGCGTGTGGGTGTGGATATTTGAGTGGTGCGTGCTTGCGTGGTTGTAGAATCTAGTACTCTCTAGTGTACCGTAGATCTCCACTTGAGATATTTTAGATCTTTGTGGGTCCTACGAATATAGCTTGAGCCCAGAGGGTTTTTTTGTTTTTTTTTCATATTCTTTTATTCGTTTTCCTCTTTTATTGCATTGCATTTGTTGATCTAGTAAAAATTATAATAACATTGCATTGTTAATCTAGTAAAAATTACAATAACGTTAAATCAAAGATTCGACCTTGCAACCTTTTCTTATAAACGCCGAAAGCACAGCTCATAAACAGATAAACGAGATCTATTTATGAGTTGCTGCATCGCAAATTATGAAATAATATTATGAGATTGGGTTATAAATCTAACATTATTTTAAAAATTATTGGACATATTGGCATAACATTTCCTTAAACTATCTTTGGATGGTCAAACGGCTCGATAGAAATTTTTGGATGTATTACTAAAAAGGTTATGAGTTTAAGTCTTTTCTTAATTATTAATAGAAGTAACAGTTGAGCTCTTACCTAGTGGATAGTTCTAGAGTCTCAAGAATTAACTGAGATTCGCGTAAGCTGGCTCGAACATCTCAATTATTAAAAAAAAAAAAGTTCCTTTAATTCTTATGAGCTATTCATCTGTTTTTTTATATAATATGAAATAATGTGGATTTAATAATATCATATTATACAATATTGATGATTACAAAATGTTAATGTAAATGGGCATGTTTGTTATTTTTGCACTATCATATCCCTATCCTATCCAAAATACATATTTTGTTTCGTATTCTGAAAATCCTATTCTATATTATTCAATTATTTTTAAACCTCATGAGTTTGTTAATTTAACTAAACACTCCAAAAAAAATTTAGAAATTAACAAAAACACCCCTACCCACCCACCCACATTTTTTAGATTTCGGCCACCACCGCCGGAAGGTAGCTGGAATCTGGTATAATAACGCACTACTGGCTGGATCTGGCCAGTAGTGCATCGATCTAACCTTTTTCGACCAGATCCACAATAGATCTGACCGAAAATAAGGCGACTCCGCCCACCCTCTGACGGTGATGACCGGCTATCTGCATTTAATTGGTGGGTGTGGGTGTTTTTGTTAATTTTTAATGTTTTATTGCAAGGGTGTTTAATAAATTAGCAAATATAGGAGGGTGTTTTTGTTAATTTTTAAATCCACCTCGTAATAACCACCCAACTCCCATTTGATTCACAATTGTTATCCTATCCTATTCCAGTGTTCTATCCTAAAAACCATTCTCAAAATTCAATTCTATTTTATTTAATTCAAAACATTAATAATTATAAGATAACTCAATTTAACTTTACTTTTTCCAAAATACTATTCTGAAAAGCATTAAAATAGTAAACCAAACGGAGTTTCTTTTTCAAAAATCCTATCCAAAATAATAAAACAAACAATAATACTATTAATATGAGGTTTCATGTTATGTATTGTTTATTATATATATATATAACCAGGGTGTATGGGCCAGTTTGTTGGCATTTTAACTAATCCCTAAAAATGTGGTAGGTCAAGACCTCTTGGTAATTCACAATGATAGCTAAAATATTGTCATCCAACCATAAGACTAATAGTTCATTATGTTTGAAAATCACTAATTCAACATTTGAAAGTTATTTAAATTATCAATATTTAATATTTTGCATTCTTGGTAAGCTTGGTGTACTGATATATGTTACCGAGTCAGGTGAAATAATACAAAAGACAATGTAAACCAAAATTAACTTAATATTTTTGTGTGCAAAAATACTACGTTTACAATCTAATCTCACAACATTCTCTTACAGCCCTATTATGGCAATAGAGTTGGCATCACCACATCAGTTGACGATTTTGACTAAACATGAATAGTCATTTCTTTGAGACAAACGACCGTTTATTCATAAGAAATAATTGTTCCATTCATAATGAATGGTTATTCTTTCATGAGGAGCAATCATTCCTTATGAATCAATGACTATTCCTTCATAAAGAACAATCATTTTTTTATGAATGAACGAATATTCTTTTATAAGGAACAATTATTCTTTATGAAGGAACGACCGTTCGTCTATAAGAAACAATAGTTCTTGTTCAGTCAAAAGTCATTTAGTATCTTAATGTTGTGAGAGCTGACGTAACAGTTATTAACTTAAGTGTCATATTGAAGTTGTAAGAGAAAGTTGTGAGATTGAATTGTGGACATGGTATTACTTTTTCGTATAGAGTTAAGGACTTTTTTACACCCAAATAATGGTTTAATGACACTTTCTTACCCATAGCCTTTTAAAATACCACTTGACTACCTAAATTCATGTTCCGATAAAAAATAGAAAGCAAACTTGGTTTAGGCTGTTAGAGCTTTTAAAGAGGGGAGACTGATGAATCTTTTGTTGGTTTGGAATTGATCAAAATTTTACTTGAGAGGAGTGACTGCGTAAACTCTAATCGCTCAATTGTTAGCAATTGGCGAGAGTAGGGTTTGAGGGGTTTTGGTGAGTGATGATTGGAAAAGAGAATGGTGGTGGTGTAGGGTTGCAACGATACCAAAATTAGAAATAAAATATAAATTTAGATGATAAAATAGTATTTTAAAAATCTGTGGGTGAAAAAGTGTCAATACACAATGGTGGGAAAAAGTCTTAAATATTTGATAGCTCAAATATCTCTCTCATAATTGTTTGCTTTTGACATGGAAAAAGCGGTGATTAAAGAAATCAAAATAATATCAGATATCTCATGCCTTATGATAAAATTGACATTAAAATAATGATTTTGAAGTGTAAATAAGTATCTACTATGATAAATATTATATTTTGTCGTATAAAATACTTTATTGAGATAAAAATGTAAGACGTACTTAAGATGTATAACACTATTGTTATAGGAGAAGACCAAGTTCTTTAAATATTTAAATAGTAATTTTATTTATATCCTCCTTTTTTTAAGATTTAAAAAAAAACAATTTTTTGTTATGTTACTTTCCCTTATATTGATAGAGACTGAAGGAATTACTACTTACTGCAATGAAATGTGTTTTATTGAGAAATAAAGAATATATTTTTCTTATAAAAACTCTATTGTCCATTTGTCTATAGAAATAATAAAATATTAAGAAGCATCCTAATCAACTCAACTAGTCCAATTTGAATCTAGTCGGTAGTTACAAAATGTATTTTAAAAAAAAAAAAAAAAAATCTATAAATTTTTATTTGAAGGAGCCCCACCAAACTCAAGTTGTTGGACTGCTGCACTAACTCAGTCGGCTGGTTAGTCAATTTTATTTTTTTATTAAAAAAAAAAAAAAATCGAAATGCAAGGCTAATAATAACAAGGTATCAGCGAAACGCGGCGTTTCGTAATAGTGGGACTCCCCCTACTCGCCGAAGCTGAACTGTTGCGGTATGCGTCTAAAAGTTGTCGGCCGCAGTAATGGCTACAAATGAACGGCAATAAAGCGAGGGAGGGAAAAAAGAAATATCTGATTGCAACTTTGATCTGAAAATGGAAGCACTAGGTGGTGGTAGCGGCGGAATCTTGGGTTGGAACTTCTTAAGGAGAAAAGCAAAACCACGCAATTCTGGAAGTAGAAATTCTAAATCCTCCGATTCCGTTGAGGCTACAGGAAGAGCCGGTTACCGGTTCCCCTTAAAGCAGGCGGTAACCGCCGGCTCACTCGCTTTGACCGGTGACACCATCGCTCAGCTCATTGACCGCTGGAGAAAAGACAATGCTTTGAAACAACATCCACTTCATTCCGATAAGGTCGGTCTAATTTTTTTCCATCACTCTGTAGATATATATTTAAAAAATATGTATTCATTTCGGAAAATGAAAGGATGAGTCGTCTAGTTAAAGATTGTGTTTTGAACATGCATGGAAATTGGAATGTGTATAAAATGGTTTAAGAATTTTTTTATAAGGTGGTCTTATGGAGGAGTTAAAAATATCATCTGGAAGGTTAAAAAGTGATATGTGGTTGGTTATCATAAATTAGAAAACTGAGTTGGCTTAGTCAAGGATGGGTGTAAATGGTTGTGATGTTTTTTATGGAAGATTCTGATTAGTGCAATTAGATTTGGAAATGTGCACTGCTTTTCCTTTAAGATGCATGCGCAGGGTGGGGTTTTAATCAATTAGGGTATGATTGGTTCTAATGAACTTGAATGCCACTCTTGTTTGGTTTGAAGCTAATAGACTGCTAATTCCTTAGAAAACCATGGAATCAGATTCCTATTTGATTTTGGACGCAAGATAAAAAGTATCATTTCTGAAACTCTGTCAATGGAAATACTTGGTCCTGTAAGAATTTATAGTTATCGGAAAAACCTTAAATAAAAAAAATAACTACAATGATAAACAACATAGGAGTTGAGAATTCAAATTTACTTTGTTTATTTTCTTTCCCTCAGCTTCGCTACCAAGAAAATGAAGGTTAATACCTTTAACAACTATCTAAGACTAATCTAACTAGCATCCCCAAGTGTGAAGAAAATTCTATGGCTTCTCTGTATTTCCTAGTTTTCTTATCTTTTTGTTTACACTTGGGGCTTGGAAATATGTTTTATCACTCAGTTACTTTTATATTTAAGCAATTTTTAAACTGTTTTGAGTTTTATTTTGACCAAAATTTCTATCTTAGAATGATTTGTGGGCCATTCTTCTTGATCATGACTGGATCCGTGCTCTGCGGATGACTTCTTATGGATTCCTTTTATATGGCCCTGGTTCTTATGCGTGGTACCAGTTACTTGAGCGTTGTATGCCAAAGCAAACAGTGGAGAATTTATTGCTGAAGGTATACTGTCTTCAGGTTTCACATATAGTGTTTCAATAACAATCTTGTTATGTCGAAATACCAGATTATTCCACAAATGCCTCATGACTTAAAGTCTTTTTAGGTTTTATTAAACCAAATAGTGCTTGGCCCATGTGTGATTGCTGTTGTTTTCGCTTGGAACAATTTATGGCTACGAAAGGTTTCTGAGCTTCCAAACAAGTATAAAAAAGATGCTCTGCCCACACTACTTTATGGTAACAATCTCTTGGAATCATTCTCTTGTTTAATTTATACTGTGCTCTAGCTTTTGGATTTTTAATGTCAACCTCTGATTTCTGTGCAGGATTTAGGTTCTGGATCCCTGTCAGTATATTAAATTTTTGGTACATCTTCTTGGTATTTCTTTTCCTTCAATTTATTTTTGGTGCTTTTGTATGAGAAATTTAAGGCCATGCCTCCAGGAGTCCAGAAACATTAGACCCTTTGGTACACAACAGAACCATTTTTTGCTGCTTTCTCAAGTAACCTGGGTAAATTGGGGGAAAAGCTTGTGTTAGAACATGACCTGTTAACATACATATTTTCTCAATAGGAACCTGATTTTAAAGCGTCTATAACTCACTTATCTTTGTAGCCAGCATGAGCAGTTATGTTAATAAAGAAACTTTTTTGCTTGACCATATATATGTTTCAGAATTCATGTAAACTTTCACAAACTTATTCCACTTTCAAAAGTCACCAAAGTTCAAGTCAAGGTCTGATACTGCATATTTTGTAATTGGTTAATATTGTATATTTGGCAACAAGTTGACTATTGTCTAGACTATCTGTATGCATTTTGTCATGGTTCTTCCCCATAGACTTTTATTGAATATCTCCCAATGACAATTGATTTTAGAGATTGCTAGACTGTAATATGCTTTTACAATAATGATGGCTTGGTAACAGGGTGGTCCCACTTCAAGCTCGTGTAGCTTTCATGTCAATGGGCTCCATATTTTGGAATTTCTATTTATCATCCACTATGAGCAAGTAGATTCTTCTCTACTGGGCTTTTTATCAATGATGTAATAATGAATGGGGGTGTTGAGTATGAGGTATTTTTCTCACATCAATTTTCTTTTGCAAGTTTGAGCTTGTTAGTTCAGCTTCTTGTTTTATTTTAATTTGTATTGTTTGCCCAAAAATAATGTACTGACCTGAAATCAGGACTTAAGCCGAAGAAAAATGGTGGGAATGAGAAGATATGATTTCAATTGTGCTCTTCATTTCCTTTTATTATTTGATGACCTGGAGAGCAGATTACTTGCCCATGTGAGATCCTGAGAAGAGGGCTTTGTTTCTGACTGCAAAGCTACTTGAAATGCATACAGTGAAGATATGTCATTTGTTTGCTTCACTAGCATTCAAATTATTGACTTTTCAGAATTCTCATGAGAATTTCCCTTTCTTTTATTTGGTGTAATTTTCGTAATGATTCTCTTTTTCTTTTTTCAATATAAAAGATTTTAGAAATGTTTTGACAGTCCCTCTAGTTGTTAGTCATGAACATAAAAGTTTTATTCATGGTTTTGGGGGGTGGAAAGTGGATGTTCAGAGATTAAATTGGCAAAGTATTTCACTTTCAAAGTTCTGATGGAGAAGTTCATAGCTGGTTTTCTAATTGGTTTCACCTGCAGATCTTTGGTGATACTAGGCTTTAGCTTGTATAGGCAGAACCCAACAAAGCCCAATCGTCTTCACGAAGTCGTATCTCTTTTCAAAATTTCCAGCATTTGTTCGAACTTCTTATCCTATTGCTAATCAACCTTTGAACTTTCTATGCTTCAACAATTCATCCGCTATTGAATGTGGGTAGATGTTTGATGAAAAATTACACATTGAAACAAAAGAATCTTAGAAGAGGGAGATCTCAATGAAAGCATCAAACGCTTTTTATGACTATTAAATCTATGATATAAACAAAATTTCAGGTCCCGTTGGTTCCAAAATTTGCGTTCTTTTGTGATCAAAAGGGGTAATGCTAATGCATTTGAAAATCACCTGCAAACGTCTATATCGTGGAACTATTACATCAATTTCTCTAATACAAATTTTGCTCCATGGTCCACACTCCACACCCTTGTTTCAACTGGTTCATTTAATCGAAAACTCCCGAATGGTTTATCCTGCTTAATGAAAGAATTTTGTTTTCCAGATTTTATGCCTCTGTGCTAACAGGAGGCAGAGTTCTTTCAATTGTGTTTCTCTTAAATTCTCTTTCAGACATATGAGAAGGCCTTAATTCAGAGCACCAAAATGGGAAGTAAGTTCAAAATCCTTGAATCAATCTTGAAACACCCTACGACGGTATCATTCGTCCGATCAAAAACAACCTCAGCCCAGTACGTATCATCAAGATTCAGAGATCCCACATTCGAAAAACTCATGGACAAGTACAAGAACTTCCTCAAAGTCATCTCCATTCAAGACCTCATTCTCGCTAACCCAACCAACAAAAACGACCCTCCTTCAGTGTCCCTTGATTTCCTCAATAGACTCTCCCAAAAGCTCCAACTCAATCGTGGCGCCACTGCTTTCTTACGCAAGTATCCCCACATTTTTCGTATCTTCTATGATCCCACTAGGTCCCAGCCCTTTGTTAAGCTGACCGATGTCGCCTTTGAAATTTCCCGCCAAGAAGCTGAAGCCATCAATGCTTCTTTGCCTCTAGTTGTTGAGAAGTTAGTTAGGTTGTTATCAATGTCCACTTCGAAATCTTTGCCTCTACGCGCTGTTTTTAAGGTTTGGAGGGAGCTTGGGCTGCCTGATGATTTTGAGGATTCGGTGATTGCACGAAACTCGAAAAATTTTAAGCTTTGCGACGGTAATGAACCAAATACTCATGTGTTGAAACTGTTTGATGAAATGCGTGGGAGAGATTTCACTGCGGCAGTTGATAATTGGAGGGTGATGGAGTGTTGTAGAGAGGATTGTGAAGTTAATGGAATGGATTTACATTACAGTTTTAAACAAGGGTTTCCGTCCGGTATGAGGTTGAGTAAAGATTTTAAGGCTAAGGTAAAGGAATGGCAGAGGTTGCCTTACGTGGGGCCGTACGAGGTAATGGCAGAGAATAAGAAAACTAAGTCTGGGATTAAGAGATCGGAAAAACAGGCAGTTGCTATTGTGCATGAATTTTTAAGTTTGACAGTGGAGAAGATGGTGGAAGTAGAGAAGATTAGTCATTTTAGGAAATGGCTTGGGATTGATTTTAATATTAGAGATTTGTTCTTGGATCACGCGGGTATATTTTACTTGTCCACCAAAGGGAAGAAACATACTGTTTTTCTGAGGGAGGCGTATGAGAGGGGGCAGTTAATTGAGACTAATGTAGTGTATGATTGTAGGAGAAAGCTTCTTGATCTTGTTGTTTTGGGTCGTCATGGTTTGATTACTGGTGGTTTTAAATGTGGGGAAGCTAGTAAGAGTGGAGAGTCTGAATCACAAGAAGAGGATAGTGAATGAAGTAATTGTTTTTCATCTTTTTGAGGTATATCAAAACTTGGTATGGTTTACATAGCTATGTTTGCCCTGTCTTTTTGTTATTTTTGTCCCTGTTAAAACGTTGGTTAATAATATTGTTGATTCAGAGCGGGGTTCACACGCTAAACTCTTATTTATGATAAGGAATTGGAGTGAGATTTTCCCATAGATGATTGAATTGAACGGTCTCAATTTTGTGATAACTCTTATAACTTCCCCCACTCCCTTTTCCCCTGTGCTTCTAAGGCGAAATTTTAGTTTCTTGAATTATATTAACTGTATAAATTATTGAAGTTAATTTATTTTTCTGTCCGTTGGTTTACATTATACAATTTTGTTGTGTACCTTAATTTATTAGGCCTTTTTTCTTTTGGGTTAAGAACAAGTACTAAAGTGTAAGTTTTATCATCACTGACAAAGCGAGATTCTGGATGTGTGGGTAGTGTCACACTAGATGCACATTTAGAGAAGTCAAAGTGTATAGTCATCCATATTGTTAGCATTGGATGCCTTTCTTAGTTACTTTTGAACTATTTCTCCTTTGTAGATCGTCCAATAGATGAGCATCTTTAAGTTGGAGAAAGAATCACACTTTGGATTAGAATAGGAAACTAGAAAAGTAGAAAAGCAAGGAAGCGACTAATAGGGCATATTCACTGAGTGACATTCAATTAGACAGAGGAATAAAACTTTTTCTTCATAACTCCACTACATAAAGCTACCAATATTTAATATAACATATATTGGACTTCTGCTGAGAAATTGGACAAAGACACCATGAGTGGCGGCAATTCCACCCCAAGTTCAAGAAATTGGCCGGTCGGACAAGGTTATGGTGGCCATGTTCCTAACAGTAGTGAGGGAAGCCGTGCACAAGCTCCATTTTCTCAAGCTGGATCTCTTTCCTTCCGTGCTGATCCAGTAAGTATACTTCTGCCTTTATAATAGGATCAAGAGTAATGATTTTTCTTTGAAATTTCATATCTTGCGGAAGATGATTAATTTGTTTAATTAATTCTTATTTTGGTTTGGTTATCTAGGGTACCAGCTGGGATGCACCCAATCCACGACCTTTATACGATGAGAGAGTGATAACAGGACCATTCAGCTTAGCTGGGTAAGCATGTTAACTTTTACAAATTCTGTTAAGCTGGTATCTCAGAACTAGTGGAAATCAATTACAACAAATAACAGAACCCCAAACCACATGATCACTGTTCCATTTTCCAACAAGTTAAATTCGTTAACTTTATGTAAATTCGTTTCTTCTACCTGAAACATCATAACCAGTTATTAAGAAAATAGCTATGTGAAACGATCAAAGGATCAATACTTTTGGAATATATATGAATTATGAATTAATTTCAAAAGTTCATTTAGTTTCATGGCTTATGCTGATTGCTCTTATCACAATATGAGCATTGATTTCTATTCCCATTTCTAATTATGGAGTACTTATAGTTTTCCAGTGCCATCACATTCCCCAGTGCATATTTTGGGAATGGAGGTCAACCCTAGTCACAGGCAAATCATCCAGGCATCCCCGCCAGCATTCATAAGACAACAGAATGTGCAAGGTGCAACTCATGACGACAACTCAAAGTTGACTCGAGAGGAGCAGCAAATGGCTTTGAAGAAGTTAAAGAAAGGAGTCTATGATCCCCCTCCAATGAAAATAAGGCCGAATTTATATTACAGACTCGACTCCAAAAACGCCGTGAAAGAGATACAAAAGGAAAAAGAAAACGACATTAAGAGCTGTGCTGTTTGCTTAGAAGATTTCGAGCCAAAAGAGACGGTGATGCTTACACCATGCGAACACATGTTTCATGAAGCCTGTATTGTGCCATGGGTGAGAAGCCAGGGCCAGTGCCCTGTGTGTAGGTTTGTACTCAGTGGGCAAAAGAGAGAGAATGACAGGGTGAATGTTGTAGCAGCCAACGATCCATTTGAAAGGGAGCTTATATCAGTTATAAGGGCTATAGAGGAGGGTACCATATGGAACAGTTTTGCCCGCTTATATCTGACATAACCTTCTTCAAGTTTCCTACTTTTGATATACCGATTCGATCCAAGATCTCTTATTAAGTGAAGATACTTTTTTGTAAATGTATTTAGGAACTTATGAGCTTATACTTGGAAAACCCATCTCCCAATTCCAAGAGATTGCAAACCAAGTTGTATTTGATGAGGAAATAAGTTAAAAGGTTTTTGATCTAAAGTATTATGTAAGCCAGTGGCTATATATATATATATGATGAGGGGTGTCTGAACCAGTTTATACTCATCTTAACTAATCTCTCGGAATTTTGAAACTATCGATTGAGTAAGAGCTTCGATAGCGATCTCTATTAGCAATTAAGAAGAGAGTCGAACTCAAAACCTCTTGAATAATACATTCAAGAGTCTCTCTTGAATAATATTATTTACATAAAAACTTTGTTGATGCTTGATTTTGACACCAACGACTCGCACGTGCAAAGTGCTAAACGGACTTAGAAATTAAACGTGATATGGAAATGTGCAATGAAAGAATAAATGAGAAGTGATTTTTAAAGTGGTTCAGATTCTTAAAAGCGAATCCTACGTCCACTATGGTTGTATTAATAGATGGTTACACAAGTCGCGTACAGCAAGCTGAGTTACAATCTATAGAGAGTTTAAATGTAGAGAGAGAGTATACTTTTTTCGACTAAAGATGAGCCAATCTCGTAAATGAGAGAGGAGCCTTTTATTTATAGTTGGGGGATTCAAGGTAGTAATCATGATTCTATTGTCGGGCAGGTGTGGTACAATTCCTAACCCGCTTCCTATTGGTTGTCTGCACGGGAGACATCCTTAAATCGCGTAGGGCTTGGGCAGGTGGACAATTCCTAGCCACTCACAAGCCTGGCTCCTGAACTCTGATTGGCTCTTACTAGTGTGAGCTCACGTCAGCCATTATTTTTTAGGCATAACAGAAGCCCTATAGTTTTCAAGGTTTAAGGATTGAACCTTGAGAACTTCATGATTATGTCGTGACTTGACTTATCCTGAGTGACGTCTGATCGAGCTGATATAGCTGTATGAGACAAGCAGTTAAGATAATGTGAAACTAGCGGTTTAACCCGACCATCGAGCTATAAGGAGGTGGCAACATAGGTCTCTAAGAATAACACAAGCGACCTGAGGCGGCCTTCTCCCATAGGTTCAGTGACCTGGGTCGGACCCTACTCAGTGCTATACCAACATGCTTTGGATTTCATTTGTCGCTCGCGACCTGAAAATACTTAGCACATTTTTACCAAAAACTAGAAATCACATCGTCTCAAAATCGATACACGGCGAAGAATGTTTTACTCGAACGACCTCTTCAGATATTATCCGTTGCGCTTGACAGCTAATCTGGTCAATAAATAAACTTTATTCTGACAGACGTGTCTATTGCATAATAAGTGCTAGCTATGCGCATTAAATGCAAGCTATGCTAAAACGACATTCCTTTTCAGAGTATTAAATGTGGATGAGGGCACATTTAATGTGGAGGAGGTAACCGCACCGACGCTTGATTGCTCCAATGGAGGGAAACGTCGATTGACATCCATGAAGCGTGAGGGTTACTCTTCTTGTGGATTAACAACATGTGGTCATAATCAATGGCGAGAAACGTATCCCGCCCAAGCGTCGCTTGCTTAGGGAAATCAATCGTTGTTTTTCCCCGTATAAAACCCCAGGTTCACCTCAAGTTTTATCACGTAACTCACATTTTCAGAGAAAAAAACAAAACTCTTGCACTTGCGAAATCAGTCCATTCTTCTTCCAGTTGATACACACTCTTCGTTACAACAGGAAGTTCGTGCCCAACAGTCAAGAGGTAAGGAGGGCTTCTCCATCATTTTCTTCTATTATTTTTGTTAATAGCTTGACTTTACGATAATGGTGGGTGTGAACTACCTGGTAAGCTTACATGGTGCAAATTTCTGGATAATGGTAAGAAGAGAACTTTTTTCTTTGTAAAAAGTGAGAACTTAGGGCACGGATTCTTGGGAATTCATTCCTAAGGGTTTTTCTAGGGGTTAAGGAAGGTAAATTAGAGTTTCTTTTGCTCTTCCACGTCATCATACGGAACACTGTATGGAGATTGAGTTATCTCTGCATGTTGCCCCTTTTTCAGACTTTAGGAGCAATGGATACTTCAGCGACTAGAGCAATCAAGGGGATGAGCTCGCAAGCGCTGGGCACCTCAGTAGGTCCTATGTAAGAAGCATTATCAATGGCCACCCGGGACGAGATACAGAAAGCGGTGGACTAGTTCGTGCTTAGTGTGGATGTCTACCAGCATAGGACGGACACAACTCGGAATCCCCTAGAGGGAATGGCCGCGATCTCCGAGGCAATCTTTAAGTGTGGGGCATTGATACCTTTTCACCCCTTCATTAAATCGATCCTCGACCACTTCGAGGTCACGCTATTATAATTGTCACCTAATGCATATATGATAGTAGTTGCTATGTATATCACATGTGGCGAAAATGGTCTTGGCGAGCTAACAGCGCTGGAGCTCGCATGTGTTTACTATTTGAAGAAGAGTAAAGATAATGATTCTTTTTACCTCTCGAAGCGATATATGATCGAGGGAGGAATATTTGGTTACCCCAGTAACGTCGGGGCTTATGAGACCAAATTTTTCTTTTTTGAATATGATGGTATTTGCCAATTTAGGGAGCCGAATAGGTTTTCTTTTCATTTGATTCGCGAACTGTCCCTTTTTCGTCAACTCTTCTTATATTTAACGAACTTTTTATCTCTTTGCAGAAAATAAGACGACTAGATTGATGGCTTTGAAAAACTTTAAGTGAATTGTGACATTCGGTCATCTACCTATGCAAAGTCGCACACGAGACTGCTCGTGACTACTGCCAACTTAAGAAAGTACGATTTTTTCAATCCGAAAGCATCTTTGGAACCCTTAGCTCGTAAGTATCTTCACCCTTAGTCCCTATTTCTTTTGCTTGAGGTGACCTTTTCGCTAACATGCTTTCATAGCGCGCAACAACCATGCCACCCAGGGTTCCAAGGCCGTTGACAAGGACTAAGCGGTTTGTGTTTCCGCAGGTTGACCCAACCGAGCCAGCCGAAGTGATCCCCGACGATATCCCCACAGAAGGGATACAAATTAGTGTTGAAAGGCGAACACCTATGGAGTAACATAGAGAAGCTTCTTGGCCCGCAGCTACTCGCGCCGTTAAGCAGAAAACTATGGGCCAGGAAACCAAGAAGAGGAAGCAGTTGCTTGCCGAGGAGAAATTGGAGTCCGAGTCAGAAGGCTTCGGGATGCCGCTGTGGAGATCGCAGCCTTACCAAGCTTTTCGCTTAGGGGTGCCCTCGAGGAGCGTGCCTAGCACTTCAGCGGTCCCCAAGAGCTCTTGTAGAAGAGAGGGGGAGGTCGCAGTTGCCCAAAGGAGAGCGGGCCAACAATGGGTCGACGAGGTGCCAATTCCTCTAGGGTCAGACACACTTGTGCTGGATTCCATGGGACAACTCTCGGAGCACCTATAGCCGGTGGTGTATACCTTGCTAGAATGCCAATTGGCTACGACCTTCGAGGAGTTCGTGACTTCCTGACCCACGGACCTGGTGGCTACTGCGCTTCATCTGCAAAGCCGGGTAAAACAACTCGTTTTTGTCGAGGACTTTTAGTATCAGTTGGTTTTCTAACTTTTATGATTTTCGGGAAAAGGGAGGCTAACTCTTGTTTCTTTTCTCATATAGTCCCTGCTCGCCTTGCATATGGCCCAACGGAAAATCGATCTGGACTCTGCGGGAAGGTTCCACGAGTTGAGGGAAGAGAATACGAAGCTGAAACAGGACTTCGTGGCTCTAAACAGAGAGGTGAAATTGGTCCACATTCAGGCGAATTAGTACTTGGTAGAGAGAAATTCTGCCCTTCGCACAGTGGACTTCCAGAAGGTCGAGCTCGAGAAGAGAGGCGAGAAGAACAAGGTGCTCCAAAGGACAATGGCCAGACTCACCAAAGAGTGTGGCGAGAAAGAGAATGAGCTGAAGGTGAACTTTGAGTGTGCCATGAAGGCAGAGGAAGACAAAGCTCAACTGCGAGAAAACTCTAAGAAGTAGAAGAGGGCTCTGGAGGTGGATCTCGAGCTGTTCCAAGGGTGAGTCGCTTCATTAACTGAGCAAATGAAGCGACAAAATCTTAAACTTGAGAGGAAAGCCGTTGATTGGGCAATATAGGCCATCTACAACTTGCGACCAAGGAATCTGGGGATGGACCTCTCCGACCTCCTGAATGAATATTAGGACATCCTTGCTTCCATGGCCCAAGCTGATGATGCCGAGGAGGAAGAGAGACAAGAGCCTCCTCTGGAGGATGACCAGTTGGAGGCATATGTCCTTGAGGACCCAACAGCGGATCGGATGATCGGTGACTAACCAGCGGATACAGAGATCGCACCTGCAGAGCCTAGAGCTGGGGACCAGTGATCGCCTCTTCTATTTTTGCACATCTTTCCTTTGGACTCTTCCTCTTTTTCTTTTTATCTTTCTGTTTCCCATTGTACTTATTTTGACATATATACAAGGAATATATTCGACCATTTGTGATAGCACTTCTATAATTCGAGCATTTCACAAGACTAATATTATACATCTGATCAGGAAACTTGTAAAAATATTGTAACGAACAAGACCATTCAAAAGAACATGACACAAATATTCCTTCGAGATAAAGCAGAACGATCTTATTCATAAAGATTATAAGGAAAACTTTACAAGCAAAAGAAATGAAAAAATTAAGAGCGAGTTCAGAATTACTAGTAATAGAGGTGAAGATGCTCAGTATTCCAAGCTCGCGGTACTTTAGAACAATGTTCTGAGAACTGGACCGGACCGGACCGAACCTTCTGATCGGACTGGTTAGACAGGGAGCCGGCATATTTTCGGTCTGGTATCTCATAAAAACCACCATTTCCCATTAAACCGGATTGAGCCGCAGTTGGACCGTCGGAATATTGCCAAGTTGCTGTCCAATCGCCA